TGTTAGCTCAGAGCCAGTCTTCCTCAGCAAAAAGAGGAGGATTAGCACGGATGTTAGCTCAGGGCTGATCTTCCTCACAAAAAGAGGAGGGTTGGCAATGGGTGTTAGCTCAGGGCTAATCTTCCTCAACAAAAACAAAATTCCGGGAATTGTCCAATAAACAGTAATCAGACAACTTACTATTTAAGTGGAAAACACCAAGACAGAAGTATATCTCCCACTATAAATAAAAATAAAACCAGAAGAATACTAGAGGAAAGTATAGAATATTATCTTTGAGTTTATCAAAATGTACAAAATAAAATTATTAGAAGAAGAAAGTATAGGAGAATGTTTCCAGTATCTTCCTTTAAGGAAGACCACAAAAGAAAAGAATGCTAGATTTGAATACATGAATTTTTTAAACTCCAGAATAGACAAAGACACTATAAAAAACTTTATTTATATAACTTAAAATTTTTAACTTTATACAAATGTTCTAACTTTATATGAAGTTAAAAGACAAACACCTAAAAAATGGAAAAAATATCTGCAACTTGTATTTGGCAAAGGATTGATAGCCTTAATATATAAAAATATACAAATCAGTAATAGAAAAGCAAGGACACTAATAGAATATAAGCAAAGTTCATGGAAGAAATGCAGGTAAGCATATAACAAGGTGATCAACCTCAAATAAAGATATGTAAATTAAAATATTTTCCACCTATGAGATTGCAAACTCCTTAAAAGAAAAGTACAATCAGGGTGGTGAAGGGTGTGGGGGGACAGCCTGACACAGGGGAAAAAGCCAGGAGGGAAAAGCTGGAGTCACAAGGCCAGTGTCTGAATCCCGACTCAAGGACACGAAAGCCAGTTACTTCCCGAGTGGGCCTCAGCTCCCTTAGCTGTCAAGTGGGGTTGACGTGGGGCTCACATGACACGAAGCGCTGGACGCAGAGCTTGGAACAAGGCAAGTGTCAATAAAGGTCAGCTGTTGCTGTTATGCTGCACCACTGCATGGAGGACACACAAGGACAGCCTTTTGGGACACAGTTCTAGGAATTAACCAAACAGGAATACTTACACAAAAGGGACAGGCAGATGGTGGAATGCTGTGCAGTCTGTAACACACGATGTCTCTGATCAAAAAATGCTAGAAGCAGAAGCATCTGTAGTGTGTGTGGAATAGTGTGGTCCCACACATATCATTTATGTGTTGGGTACTCTATGCACTTTGGTAACATTTGACATAACATACAGGGTTTTTGTTTTTTAATGAAAATATATTCCCTTCATATTTGGAAGGAAAAAAAGAAGAAAACACTGTGGTACCCTCATTTCTAATGTGGGCACCCTTTACTTCCTCCTACCTCAGATTTCCTAAGGACTTCCAAACATTTCTTAGTTTACTATTAGGGACTTATTAGCAATCACAGTTAAGTTTAAACATCTTTCCTACCTCCCCCCAGGGTCACTTTAGACAACAAGGGGTGTTCTCAGTAACAAGAACTCGAGATGCTGTTTCAAAATAAAACCTGAGTGAGAATCGTTTACCAGGGCCAGCCCCGTGGCTTAGCGGTTGAGTGCGTGCGCTCCGCTGCTGGCGGCCCGGGGTTCAGATCCCGGGCGCGCACCGACGCACCGCTTCTCTGGCCATGCTGAGGCCGCGTCCCACATACAGCAACTAGAAGGATGTGCAGCTATGACATACAACTAGCTACTGGGGCTTTGGGAGAAAAATAAATAAATAAAATTATAAAAAAAAAAAAAAAAGAATCATTTACCTGCTGTGATTGGTTGAAACAAATTACTTACAGGGCAGAACGTGACACATCTCAGGCACACAGCGGACAGAGAGGAGATGGTGAGCGCTTGAAGGTGCCAGTGAACTGAGAAGGGACTTAGGTTGGACACATTAGGATAACAGATGTGCCCGGTGATTACACGTGAACACACCTTTCATGTGGTGGGTTCTGATGTTAAGTTTATGCTGCTAAGTTAACCTCTTCAAAGCACTTACAATGTCTAGGCACTGATTTAGCACAGGCTTCTGTGACATCATTAGGGGTCTGAAACTTCTGTACCATGGATCTCTTTGGCAGTCTGATGAAGCCTACGGATGCCCTTCTCAGAATCGTGTTTTGTAATGTATAAAATAAAATATATAGGACTACAAAGGACCCAATTATACTGAAATACAGTTATCAAAATATTCAGAAAACAATTTTATGATAGACTAGCATATGTGCATATTTATTAACATTCAGTGACGAGACCTGACAGCAGGTGCAAGGAATGAACTTATGTGTGATATCAAAATATCTGTGATTTCTACTGCGGACCAACAGGTATTGTTAATACGCTGTGGTTGGCTTCCGACATTCATAAAAGAAAATGCGAAACTTTGAGTGTAGCAAAAAGCTCACAGACCCTCTGAATTCCACCCACGATGCCAGATTAAGAATCCCTGTGCCAAATGAAGAGCTGTCGTACTACAGCAGAGACCAACCTCCAGGAAGTTCATGATGAAGAAGAACAACAACAGGAAGGCCGGTGCAAAGAGGAGGCGGTCCAGGAGGAGCCTCTTGACCCCTGCCAAGGGGACCTCGGAAGGGATCCAGTGCTCCAGGAAGAGGTAGAAGAAGTGACTCAGTGGCCCTGTGAAGAAGAACCTGTGGCACCGTGGTGGCGGGTGAGCTGGACTGCCCCTCTCTGGACGTGCCCTTCTGGGGTCCAGCTTCACCCCCAAACCCCAGGTCCTAAAGCCTGCCTCCCTGTAGTCCCTCAGCACTGACCACAAAGGTCTGTGTGATCCTTCTAGAAAATATGCTTTCTTCGAATCTACTTCAAGCATTCTTTCCTGCCTCTCACAGACCAGACTTGTTCCTGTCTTGGATCCCCCTAATCTTCACGTGGCCCACTCCTTCTCAACCCTGTCAGCCTGGAGAGTTCTTTCCTGATTGCCCTGCATGATGAACCCACCGCTGTCCCAGCCACTCTCCGTTCCAGGCCCTGTTCATTTTCTTCATAGCATTTATCACTACATGTCACAATCTCCTTGGTTTAGTTACACAGTGCTTTCTCTTCGCCCCTAGAAGGTAAACGCCACAAGACAGGATCATGCCTGTCTGTTCAGTGCCCAGAACAGGGCCTGGCTCAGAGATGGTGCTTGGTAATAAATAACTGGAAGCATCACTGGTGTTAGAACTTTTCATCAAACCCTCTTGGGTAATTAGCAAGAGCAAAACCTAGTGAGCACACTGGCTTGTGTGTATTGCCACTGTTCTTCCAAAGTGTAAAGTGCTTGGGAGAGAACTGAACCCAGCCACTACATCTATTGGGACAACAGACCCACAGCTCCATAAAATCCAGCAATGACAGATGGACAGAGCCCAAGGGTCTTCCAACCTGACAATGAAAGTCTTTAAACAAGTGGTTCTCAGTTGTCTTTTCCCACCCTGCCACAGAAGGTGAAGTGGCCTAGAGCCGGAGTTCACAGTGGGAGGAGAAGGGAAGTCTTGAGGATGGAAACTGTGATGGGATAAAGCCTCCCAGGTGATTCGGGTATACTCAACCCTGCCCCCCCATCGGGGGGATTACAACTAAATATATTGCAGAAAAAGCTGCAATGACTAAAGTTAGCGTGCTCACAGATACAAAAATGATATTTGTAAATTTTGAACTGAAAAAAAATCACTCTTGTTGCAAAAGATTTCAAAATAATCCATCTATACAAACACTGTTGTTGGCCAGAGAACTCAGGGTGGACTTAATTGGTAAAACTCCTGAATCTCTGTGCTACTGCAATTCAAAAAGTCGTTCAGGGGCCAGCCTGGTGGCGCAAGCAGTTAAGTGCGCACGCTCCGCTGCGGTGGCCCGGGGTTTGCAGGTTTGGATCCCGGGCGCGCACTAACGCACTGCTTGGCAAGCCATGCTGTGGTGGCATCCCATATAAAGTAGAGGAAGATGGGCATGGATGTTAGCCCAGGGCCAATCCTCCTCAGCAAAAAAAAAAAAAAAAAAAAGGATTGGCAGATGTTAGCACAGGGCTGATCTCACAAAAAAAAAAAAAGTGGTTCAGAAACTGGACATTTTTCAGGATACCTAAGTATTTCTTTTCTGGATGTTTTTGATATGAAAATAACAACAGAAACTGACCACATTTGAGTCTGTTTTCCTCTTTCAGGGTCTTTGAGTCTTGAAGTCTGACTTCAGGGTCAGGTGAGTTATCTGCCCTCAGGTCTCTCAGCCCAATTAAGACAGCCTCCTCAACCCATGCAATTCAAAATAAGGACCACATAAAAACTATAAAATAAGTGGTTAATGTTATCCACCGTTCTGATTTTTCCCATGATTACTTCAAAGCTTTTTAAAAATTATTTTTCCAAATTAGATTATTTCAGAAACTTGCTCTTGATACCCTAGCTTTGTAGCACTTAGTCTGCTACTGGGTAAACCAGCCCCTTTATGGAACTCACCCATAAATGGCATATCTGAGAGGCCCACTGACATCTAGCTTTTGAGAGCAGTTTTCTTTTTTCTGCTGCTTCTCAGACATCTGGGCCAGCAAGTTCCCAAGTGCTGACAAAATGCCACTGTGGACAGAGAGGTAATCAGAAAACAGGAGCAACTGCAGGAGGGCATCTGTTCCTGAGATTATGCTGGGGAGGGGTGGAGAGGAGTCCTTATTACAGCAGCCACAGTGTAAGGCTTCTACATAAAAACGTAGACACAGTGGAACTTACACACACACACACAAAAACACAGGAGTACAGTAAGCTTTCCAATTAGTGGATTGTATCAATGTCAATATCCTGATTGTGATATTATACTATAATTTTGCAAAAGGTTACCATGTGGGAGGGGGGAGTGTGTGGTTATAAAAAGGCAACAGGAAGTATCCTTATGATGAAACTTTTCTGTATTTTGACTGTAGTGGTGGATACATAAACCTATACATGTGATAAAACTGCACAGAACTAAACATAGGCACACACTCGAGTACAAGCAAAGCTGAGTATGAAGTCTTAATATGATCTGTGACTGTATCCATGCCAGTGTTCTGGTTGTGATATGTACTACAATTTTGTTTGTACAAAATGTTTCCAATGGGGGAAACTGGGCAAAGTGTATGAGGGATCTCCCTGTAAAATTTCAATAAAACGGTGGAGACAGTCGCTCCAAGGGTTGGTCTATAGTTGCCTTCTGAGAAGCTCTCTGAGCTATAAAATCCAAACTTCTTAGTATGGACGATAAGGACCTTCTTGATCTGATCCTTGGCTACTTCTTTCTCATTTCTCCCTTTCTCACTCTTCATTTTCTCCAGGGACACAGACCTTCTTTCTACTCCTCCATCAATAGCTTGCTCCTCCCTCCAGACCTTTGCACCTGCTGTGCCCTCTGTCCGGAGAGCTTTTGCTTCCCTTCTTTGCATGGCCTATCCCCTCTCTTCATCTAGGTTTCTGTTCAGATGTCACCTCCTCAGATAAAACTTCCCTGACCACTTTACCTGTGTTACATATTTATCTGCTTTTTGTCTGGCTCTTCACTAGAACGCCAGCTGCATGAGGGAAAGGACCTTACCTATCTTAATCACTGCCGATGCCCAGCACGCAAGAAGCACGCTGTACATATTTACAAAAGACTGAACTAGTAAAAAGGGACAAACTCATGAAATTAATTAAAGTAATGAAGGGGGAGATGTCTCATAAAAAGTTTAGTGCTCCAAATCAAAGGGTGGAGTTACCCAGCAGTACCGAGAGCGCTTTCAGTTTTCTCCCAAATGCAAGGCTGCCGCAGAAGGCAAACCTGCACACCTCCCACCCTGCCCAGGCCTCCTGTGCGCTCCTCAAGGCATCTACCTCAACGCCATCCTAACTCTCAGAACAAGCGCAGGCACAGACAAGCTGTGCGAGAAGCTGGGCCCCATCTGTCTCGGGACGCTCCCTCCAGGGCAGCGGGACCAAAGGCGCAGAGGTCTGCAGGCAGTCCTCCGTGCACTCCTTTAGTCGGGCTCCCTGGAGTTCACATTTCAGAGCGCCTGAGTTACTCTTCGGAACCGAAGACACAAAACCGCATATGCTGAGCTTTCTGGTTAATTTAAGGTCTTTGGAGGGTCATTCAGAGGCACGGGGATTCTTGCCTTTCACACTCAAACCCCCGTGGAAGAGGCACCTATGTAGCGGGGTCACCGGGGCCGTCCGGGCTCCGGGCCGCCCCCGCCCGGTCCCGTCCCCCCGCGCCGACCTGGTGGCCGCCTTGGTGAGCACCGGGTAGAGCCGCAGGAGGCGCAGGTACTGGGCGAGCGCCCGCCGCGGGAGCGCCCCGAGC